TATTGTCCAATGCCTCTTGACATAGCAAATCACAAGGAAGGTGTCATAATGGAGGTTGTGGACAATGGCTGTACAACCCCCCAACTCCATAGGTCTCCCCTCCCACTCATGATCATAGCTGAGGGAGCCGTCGTTCACCATGGCTGAGATGTGGGGGAATACCAGCTCTTGCTGCTTCTCCTGATTGGGGTAGGTGTCTACAAATACTCCCGGCCCCACAAGTTTGTCCATGTTTCCAAACACAGGCCCTGGCTGCATCCGACCCTTGGTGTACCAGATTGCCAAGCCATCCCCATGCAGGTTCTTCTTCCCTTGCCCGTGGATCTTGAAGTGCACCTGCAACTCCCAGTCTCTCAGGAAACATGGCACCCAGCTCCACAGGCCACCCTGTTTACTTTGCATACCTGGAGTAAGTTGGATGTACTGGATCATCGCCATGGCATTGCCCATCAGATTCCACAGTGAGGAACTGCCCATGCCCACACCCTGGTAGGGCTTCGACAGTGAATGCTCCCGTCTCAAGTACTCGAACGTCTGATCCGCCCCAACTTGCCGTGGCCCCTGCCCAGACCCCAATAAAAGGAGCAGGAGCAACATCCTGGACCCTTCCTGGGCTGACAAGCGATGCCCCCCCTGCTACATATTTTCCTCTGTTCTGTAGGTTGTCTCTTCACTTTCTTGATAAAGTCCTTTGATGCACAAAAGTTTTTAATTTTGATGAAGTCTGTTTTAGAAATACCACGAGTAGATGGCTTTAACAAACAGAAATTTATTTTCTCGCAATTTAAGAGGCTAGAAGTCCAAATTCAGGGCATAGGCTCTAGAGGAAGTTTTTCTCTCTGCCGGCTCCTGGGGAAGGTTTTGTCTCTTCAGCTTCTGTTTCCTGGCTCCTTAGAGATCTCCATGTGGCCTGGCATCTATCTTCTCTCATTTCTACCTGCTTGCTTGCTTGTTTAATCTCTTTTATAGCTCAAAAGAGACTGATTCAAAACACACCCTATACTCATTAACATAACAAAGACAACTCATTCCCAAATGGGATTATAACCACAGGCATAGAGATTAGGATTTACAACACATATTTTCTGGGGAACACAATTCAATCTACAGCAAAGTCCAATTTATCTATTAGTTTTTTTGTTGTTGTTGTTGCTCATATTTTTGACGTCATATCTAAGAATCCGTTGCCAAAAACAAGGCCCTGAAGCTTTACTCCTATTTTTTACGAGTAAGAGTTCTATGGTTTTAGTTCTTATGTTTAGGTCATTGATCCATTTTGAGTTAGTTTTCACATATGGTGTGAGGTATGTGGAGATCCAGTTGTCCCACAACATTTGCTGAAGAGACTATTCTTTTCCCATTGAATGAACTCGGCACCCTTGTCAAAAATCAATTGGCCAGATGTATGGGTGTTACTCTTTAAATGGATGTTATTCTTTAAATGGTATCAAATTGTCATGGTATTATATTCCACTGGATACATTTAAGAGTCACGTAACAGTTTCATTTAAAAATGCCAATATTTAAAACACACTGGAAATTAACAGCTGTCTAATTTTATGATAAAAATTTTAGATGTTGATATAAAAATGGACAAGGGGATACATGTGTTTTATAAAATTCTTTTGGGTGGAAGCAAACAAGAAAGTTCAAAGACCATTGAACTTGATTTTCCTGTATTTGAAACAACTTAAATCACTCCTCTGTTTCTGGAAGGCCTAAATTACATTATACATGAGAACTAAGAGGCAACAAATTAGCACCTCTGAATACAATCATAAGGGTTAGTTTTAGATTAACTAGCTTTTACCTAGAAAAGACAGAAACTTTTAAGTTCTATAAGAATGTGTCCCGAAACGGGTAAATTTAGATGTTTGCAGGATAGGTCCAGGGTATGACACGAAGAATGGCAAGCCCACTGCAAGGAAGAGTACAGTGGAGGGCCAAACAGAAGGCGGAAAGTGTCCTACCCAAATTTGCCACAAGCCAACCTGCTTTGATCCATACTAGGGTTCATCCCGGTGGATTTAAAGCCAAAATCCTGGGAGGACCTCATCATACCCACTTACAACAAGGCCCCCAGCATGGACTCTCGGGGGCTGTTCTAACCCCCGGTTTCTCTCTCAGGCTCCTGGGACCTGTTATGACAATGGAATCAACCTTGAAATGAAAACGGTCTAAACTACTCTGCTCCTTTCAAGTAAGAATTGAATATTAACAATATTTAATCTTTCTTGACTCTACATGGAAACTAAACAATTAAACTAAACAAAGTTCAAATGTTGTCGTTGTTTTCCCTGTTTATATCCATTGCTATGAGAAACCAGACTTCCAGGTTACTCCTCATCTCTCACCCACTGATCCACTCAAGGCTCTTCACCACCACCTATTCTGAACCTCCTCCCACCACTCGCCGATTTCTGAGACTCTTCCACTGTGCCCTCTGGAATTCACAGTCCATCATGGGCAAAATCCTCCGTACCCCCGACCTCTTCCCTGAATACGCCCTTTACCTTCTTGCTCTAATGCAAAGCTGGCTCCAGAGTCCTCCTACCACCACACTTGGAGGCGATAGCGGGGTCCTTCTTGCTCTTCATTGCCACTTTCAGGCTATTCGCCCTCCCTGCTTTCAATTCCTCCCTCTGCTCAGTATTTTAAAAAATTCGTGGCCTCTGACGTTGTCATCTGCTCATTGTTGCAACACTCACCTACTCAATTTCAGATTACTCCACTTTATTTCTCAAGAACTTTGGCTCTTGGCTACTGGCATTCTCTTGTTCTGTATGTTCAGCGTGTACATACATCATGCTTATAAAGCTCTGTACTTGGCTCTCTTCCAAGGAACCTTTCCTCCACCTACCTTGGACACTCATTGCTGTGGTCATACTCCACCCTAGACTTCTTCACTCCTGCATAATTTCAATTTCATGCATCCCATTATCTAATTATCAGCTTGTGGTGGTTATATCTTAGAAGTGGGAGGAACTCCTCCATCTAAAATTTGGTTTAGATACTGAGACTGATGAAGCCACATGTGCACCAAGAGGATATGAAAATTTTATTACTCGAGACTTTTTGGGGAGAGCAGGACAGGCTCCCAAGCAGGTCCAAAAATGGCTTGAGAGAACAGGGAAAAGAAACTTTTGTTTTATGGCAGTTAGGGAGTGGAGCCAGTTGAATTACCCTCAGGGCTTGCTGTTTGGTTCTCTTTCTCTCTATCTACACTCAGTCCCTTGATCATCTTGTCCAGTCCTGTGCTTCAAACACCATCTAAATGCTGATATCTCTCATATATCTCTTGCTTAGAACACTCTCCTTAACTTGTATATCCAACTGCCTACTCAAGATCTCCACCTGGATTTGTAATAAATATCTCAAACTTAACATGTTCACAACTGAACTCCTGATCTTTCTCCTCAAACCTGTAGTCTTCTCCCACCTCAGTTTTCTTTTTTCGTGTAGCCCTTATCAACCGTATCATTCTATTTAATTTTATTTACGACATTTAGTATTTATTGACCATCTCTCCCACCCCCAAAATGTAAGCTCCACAAGGGCAAGAGTTTTTATCTGTTTTGTTCACCTCTGTAGCCCAAAACTACTAGAACAGTGCCTGGATGCTCATGAAATTAGGTGCTCAGTAAATATTTATTGAATGAATGAAAACTGTAGGATCCATCCTTAGCTTGCTCAGAAGTTACCAAACCTCTTAACCCAAACTAAAAAAATCAATGAAAAATGGGTTTATCTGCTAGCAATAAAATACCACTGAGGTTTAAAATCTGTCTCTGTGTGTTCAGGAGAGGAATGGAAGGGAAGGTATCTCTTCAGAAACTGAAAGCACCAGAACAAACCTTATGTGAAAACCGAATGAGTTCTAAATGCCCACCCGAACTTTGTTGGCACCGTGTGAAAACGTGGTATGTGGGATAAAAAGAAGCAAAAAACATATCCTTCTCCATTCCAAGTCACTCAGATCAACAGCTGCTCTCCCAATAGGGTGGCTCTTTTTTCCCTTATTTGGATCTCACTGTCAAAAGAAAGACACCACACCCTGCGTTATGTAGCCCTGAGTAGCTATGCCACGTCCCAGGTCTCCTGTGTTCAGGACTGTATTTGATTCAGCAATATTTTTCTTTTGAACAAGGGTTCCTGGGTGGGGCCAAGAAAACTTCTCTGAAGCTGTTTAAAAACAATACAAACCAAAAATCGGAATTTTATAAAGTACATAAAAAAAAAGTTTGGGGCGAACTGGATTGAGGGAGATACTGACTTCAGCAGAGGGAAGCCCTATCCACATTCGCTTCACGCGCTTGGCTGAGGGCGCAGAGCCCAGTCCCCGAGGGATGCGCCCGTCGGCGTCTCGGCGGCGGCAGACGCCCCTCCCTCTCGCCCGTGCGCGGGGTACAGCGAGCCAGTCCCCGGGGAAGGAGCCCAAGCTTCCCTTGAATTTCAGTGTAACCCGTCCAGACACGTCCTGACTGAGGGAGCAGGGTCTACCGTGCTGCTAAGCAGCCCGTCAGTCTTGCCGGGCCTGGGTGGTGGGACCCGCGGCAGAGGCAGCACCGGGAGCCCAGAACCGGGAACCAGGAGCAGACAGCAGGGTCCCCGCTCCGGTCGGCGCGGCGCGTGCCTCCAGCCGGAGCGGCGCCCCCTCCCTCCTCCGCGCGCCTCCCCTTTAAGCGCAAGGCGCAGTTGGATTTGTGTCGGCGGAGGCGAGGCGCGACTCCCTTTTATGGCGGAGTCCGCGGCAGCGGCTCTCAGAGCCGCGGCGGCCGGGCAAGCAGAGCCAGAGGCCGGGCCTCGGGCCGCCGTCACAGCTGCAAGGCCACGGGGAGCCGAGCTCGCGCCGCGGC